TTTACTTTCTTAATGCTTAGCAACGTTTATGAAATCAAATTTATTTTTCCGTGCTTTCAACGAACTAAAAATTTCACCTTACTACGGCAATCTTTCAGAGAAATTAAGGCAGAAATTACGAAAAATTAGCAAGATAAACAGGTAATATTGTTTTTTCAATGAAAAGTAATAATTTTTTGAAAATTAAACTTGAAAAAAAGAATAAATTCATCGAAAACAAAAATTTAATTTATAAATTTTGTGAAGTTTTTTCTGGAAAAAATTCCTTAAATTTAATATTTCGAAAATTTTTCATGAAAAGAACGATAAATCACGCTAAAAGCCTCCGCAATGAGTGTTAATAAAAAAAGAAAACTGAATAAATCAAAAATATTTCATTTTTTATTGATATTTCATTTTATTTTTGATATACGACAAATGATAAATTCTCGTGATAAGAAATTTTTTTAGCATAATGATTAATGAAAAAATAGATAGCGAATAATGGTATTCAGCATTAGTACGTAATGTAATTAATTTTCGTGATGACAAATTCAATTTTTTCTTCCTCTAAAACTTTTTTCATTCACTATTTCTTATTTAGTTCGTTCTACTGGATATTAGAAAAGCAAAAGAATTCGCCTGAGAAACATTTGGAGGTTAAAGAAGTATTCGGAGATAGGTCGCCAGCAATACTCGGATTTCGCTTTTAATGACCAGGTTCACTATCATCAAAAGACAACTCAACCGGACTCATGACTCAGTCTTAATCGAACCAATGTCAGTATTCAGTCGCAAATTACATTTCATTGTTTTTCCAAATAATCCTTATTTTTACTTTAACTGACAAAAAAAATTTTTAATGAATAGATTATCTAATAAAAAAAGCCGATCAAAAAACTTTTCATTTTATTGCTTTTTTTATTTTGAGAATAACGTAAAATTCATTGCCAGTTGAAGAAGTGCCTGATACCTTGGGTCCACTCTAATACCAAATGGACAGGCAAAAGATGATATTATAACTCGGATCACGGCAGCTAGAAATGTGTTCATCCGATTGACGAAACCTTTATGGAATCGTCGTGAAATCACCATAAAAACGAAAGTCGGCATCTACATAGCCGTGATTGGTTCGATCTTATTATATGGTTCTGAGACATGGCCAATGAGAGTGGAGGATATTAAGAAGTTATCTGCCTTTGACCACTCTTGTCTAAGGTATATTTTAAGGGTTCGCCGATAGGATAAAATCTCACAAGATCGCATCAAATACCACTTGCATAAATAAGGTTATCACAGAGCGCCGCCTTCGCTGGTTAGGGCACATTCTCCGTCGTCCACCACAGGAGTTGACGCATATTTCGTTATTTGCTAAACCGTGTAACGGTTGGCGTCAAAAGCGAGGTGAGCCAATCAAGACCTGGACTGATACGGTGAGGAAAGATTTTGAACGTATAGGTGGACCAGCAATATTTGGACTTAGACGATGGAAAAAGGAATGGCTTCCATTTCTGTCGACAATGGTATCAGACCGCGCCGCTTGGAACCGTCTTACCCTTGTAGCCGTTGGAGCCAGCCTAACCAGTAATGGTGAGAGCTGTTAGAAGAAGAATAACGTAAAAATTTTTTTTATTAAAATTTGATTTAATTTCCTTTAAATAAATGCACACTTTTTTCTTCAAAACATGAAAAAACTCATTAATCACCGAAAATCAAACATAAACCATCACTGATAAGGGACTGGTAATGATTGATAAGCAAAGAAACAGTGGACTTTAATTCTCTAAAAAGCTGGAACTCATTAAAACAAAATTCTCTTTTAGACATATTAATATATTTTTCGCGCAATTAAAATTTTAATCGTGCTACTAATTATACGTTCAAACTCATCTCTGATTTCGATTCATTAAGAATTAGAGGGATTAAACAAGGTTTGTTTACTACTTATACTTATACGACTTGTACTTTTTCGTTCTGTCCAAATCCAAATCCAAAATGCACGAATTTTTATGAATTCTCTTTAAATTTGAACGGTAATAAAGTATATTTGAATAATAATAGAGATAATGGATCTACGAAGATATGAAACTATTCGTGAGAATAAAATTATGGCTCTAATTTCTTCTCTAATGTGTAGCGTAAATCAGCGCCTCCCAAACACTTTTTACCACGGAATTTTTGCCACTTTACAAATTATATCGGAACATTGCAAAAATTCTTCTTATTTTACTCTCAAGTGTTTAGTTGTATATTTAAGTATAAAAAATTATGGAAAAACTAAAAATAATTGCACATTTTAGTTTGCATATAGCGAATAGAACTAGGGATAAAATTAAGGGAACACTTAAAAAGGTTTGTTCGCGGAAGGTTTGTTAAGGAAAGAAAGGAAGAAAGTCGTAAGCTATTAAAAGAAACTGCCTATTGCTGTCATTATTAGGCTTATAGACTTAAGGCTATCGCATAATTTGATTTTCTTCTAAATAAAAATGAAGATATAAGTATATTTATTGAATAAAGAAATCATTAATTTTTCAAAATATCGTCAAAATTAATTTTTCTTACATTTAAATAGTGAAAAAAAGCGAATAACTGGCATATATCAATAACAATTCGTCAAAATTAAGACATTATATTAAATTCATATATTTCATTGTAAATGCAATGTTATTTTCTCTGAAATTTTATTGATAACAATCATTCAGTGGATTCCAATAATTCATTAAAATAAAAAATTTACAATTTATAATAAAAATTTACAAGGAAAATACAACGAATTAATCATTATTAATTTAAATAAGATTTCTAATAAATTTGAACAAAATTTTGTATAAGTTAATAAAAAAAACCATTTCGATTCCTATTCCAAATGAATTCCTCGCAAAAATTCCAATTACACTAATAGCCAACCGAACTAGCCTAACCTAAAATGATGAGCGCCAACCATGAAGTCAGAGAACTAAGTTTCCACTTATTTTCCACTTATACTCCATGCGAATAAATAAAGTGAAAAATTATAAAATCAATTTTTTAATCGTTAATTATTATAATTAAAAATTTCTAAATAAAGATTTCAAGGCTCAGGAAAAATTCGACGCTTCAATCATTTTTCGGGATTTACGCCAATCCTTCTAAAGTTATAAAGTGGTGATACATTACTTGAATATATGCTTAGCCATTTGATTTTGGCAATTTTTGCCGATATTACTGCGCTGAGTAGCCAACACTAGTGGGATTTCAATTTTAATAACAGTTTTAAACCATTGAAAGGACATGAATCGAACCAGAAAAATTGTGCATTGACGCGTGTAATTTTCCAACGCACATTTTGGCAAAATACGAGAAAACAGAATAAAAAATCGAAAATTATTTCTATAAAAATGGTGCAATTTTCAAGTGATTACTTCTTCACAACCTCTATCAGTCAGCGATTTCGGCTATCCCACTGATTACTAGGATGAGATAGATCTTTTCGTCAGAGAACTATCTGCAGGGAAATAGGTTTCCGATAGGTTTCTATTCCCAGAAATGTTTGCAGCTGTCTTAAATACTTTAAAGAACTATAAAAAATGATCACTAAAATATCATCATCATCATTTTTTTCGCCATCATTTTTTTTCTTTTGCAACGGCTTTTTCAAATTATTCCGTAACAATACAAGTGCGACAGGCTTCTTTTTTTCATTACATTTTTTTTTCATTACAATTTCTAAAGAGTTTCTACTTATGTCACACGCGCTAATTCCATGATTCTTTCATTTTTCCTACGCATAAAAACGAGAAAATAAGCCTGCCAGAAAAGGAAGAAGAAATATGCATCAGCCTGCTGGCGACAGAAGACCGTCAAATGTGCAATTAATTCGACGGCCTCTCTGAATGCACGAGTTCTTAACCTTCATCTTCACAGTCCTTAAATATTCGATATTAAATGGCAAAAGCCCTATCAACTGGATTTAGATTTGCAAAGTAAAGCGAGGTTGCCGAAACTGCCTTTTTAATTTTTAAAGAAGATGAGCCTTAAGGTAATAGCCTGCGAGCATCGTTCACACCTGACAGCTGCACTTTAAATACCCACAGTTAAGGAAATTTTAACGCACTTGAGTTGCCAGGCGACCCAAGGCATAAACCATATGGTAACCATAAAATATTTAGACAGTTAAAAAATTCAAATGAAAAACCTAGCTCAATTTAAAATCTGCAGTATTGCACTTTCGCTTTAAGACCAGATTGACCAGATTGTATAAAAAATTATTGGCAAATGGATTTATGAGTGTGCTGCTTGCGAGCGAGTGTGCTAAGTCTTCGATTTGCCGAGGGTCAAAGGTTATGGGATTGGATGTTGGTGTATAAAAATCAAAATCAAATATTTGTTTCCTTACATTTATTTATTTGTTTTAGTTTTTTCTATTTATTTAACTTGTTCAAACGCCTTAATTGGTTCTCTTCTTTACAGGCAAAGGGCTCGTCAGTGATGGTTCGAAAACAGTGTTTAACTTTTAAGAAAAGTCCTCGCTATAATCTTCGAAGCTATGACAGACTGGTTAGTAAAATCTTTTTACCTTTATTTTTATTTCTGATTCTATGCTTCTTTTGCATTCCTTTTTTTATCATTTTATTAATTGTTCTTATAATTATATTATTTATATTTTTGTCTTATAATTTTTTTATAATTATTTATATATTTTTCTACTTTTGTGCTATGTTGAAAAATAAATTTTATTACTTCTTTCTAGTTTTTTTTCCATATTGCAAATATTTCAGTTACGTTTCTTCGAAAAAGTGTTTTTTCAAAAGAGGAAATACATTTTCTTAGCGAGAAGATTTTTAGACTTTTTTTATTATGAAATTTCTAAATATTTTTCATCTATGAAAAGGAAAACCTTAAAATCATCCGAATTCAAATTTTTCTTGGGCGTTTTTCCTTTTTCCTTTTTTTTCTTCATTTTAGTTTCTATTTTTAAATTATTTTGGGCAAATAATTTGCGAACGATTCAACTTTCGGAATTTTTTCCCATAAGAAAGCGAATGGTGAATGGTTTATCGGAAAAACGAGAAAAAATTGCACTGTTTGAGAGAAAATTTAAAGGTGAAATAAATAAATTACTAGAAAATATTCAAGTTGTTCCATCATCTGACAATGCTTATGATACTTATGGTAATTTTAGATTAAAATTATAAATTAATTTGATTAATTTTAATTTTTATTGAAAATTCAACTAAAATTTTCGAAATATTATTTAGATTGCTTGAAAACTCAATTAGTAGCAAATGCAAATGTTCAGATCAAAACACAGTTGGGAATGTTTACGATTTTACCTCGCGAACTAATTCTTGTATTTTTCGATCATATTCCAAGTATTATTTTGCTGCTTAGTATCAAATATCTTTATAGGCGATACAGCATAACACTATTGAATTTGTGTTCAATTATTGGGAGGGGAAGAGATAGAGATAGCCCAGACTATCACTTCCATTGGAGACCCAACTATGCCTTTCTTCCCATTTAGTTGTTTGACAAAAATTTATAATCGTATTAACATCTAATGGATCAAGTTTAGCCAGAAATGGTGAGTGCTTATTAATTACTTTTTAAATTCAGATTACTGAAGTTATGAATTATTCTACTGTTTTTATGGATTTATTTTTCAATGTGATTTGAATATTTTAAAAATCATTTTGAAAAATGGATTGGTTGGATTGAATTGTGTTCTCAGGATTTTTGCTATTTATTTGGATTTGAGTTGGGTCTTTTAATATGGGTTTCTTTATTTTTCAGTAGATCTATCTAAATATATTTGCTTTTTTTCTCATTTCAAGAAAAATGGATTTTTTCGCTTTTTTCAGCCAATTATTTGGTGAAATTGAGCGTATTATCGAAATGCTTTAATGAATTAGTGCTTTCTTATACTTTATCAGGTGGTGCAACCTTAAGATTTACTCGTGAATCAAAGCGATTATTAACGGATGAAGAAAAAATGAGTGGGAAAGATCCTTTTCATTGTTGGGGCGAGTTTTTTTCTTTTTTCGTTTTGCATCCCTCAAATTATGTATATTTTTGTGATTGATTTTACGAAGTTTTTCTTATAGTAACTCGGTCTTTTAATAATTTATTGTTGTTTTGCCGCGCTATACTGGCAATGAAGATCAGAGATTTCCAAGCTCATCTGATGCCATTTCTGAAAGTAACTGAAACCATTCATTTTTTTCCATCGTATCGCTCATTTATCGCGAGCTGTTCAGTATTTCTTCATCATTTTGGCTGATCCTCATTACTTTCCCTACCATCAGTGGCAATTTTTAGCATGTGTTCAGATATGTTTCGATATGAAAAAGAAATAAATTAGCGCAGGAAACACTTTATAACAATATTTTAAATGGAGATATTATTTGAATGAAGATACAATAATATCTTGATTACACAGAATATGCTTAAGCAAGAATGGTGAATGGTCAAAGATAGAGCGTTTCCTGGTGTTTTCCTCTCATTGGCCATATTTTGCTGCTACATAATAAGATTCTGGATATTAGAGCCAGATAAATACAAGTTTTCGTTTTAATTTTGAGGGAGAAGGTTCATCAGACATCTCTAGCTACATGTGAATTGAAATTTTATCTCTCATATCATTGTCATAAGGCTTGAGATTGGAAGAGTGGGCTTGAGATATTTAAAGGAGATGATATTTAAAGGAGATTTTATGTATGAAATTATATTATGATGAAATCATATTTTGTAAACTTTTGTTTATTTTGTAAAATTCAGTGTTAACTAATGTTCATTTTTATCACAGGTTTGATTTTGAAATCAGTTACAATAACTTTCCATTCTGTTAAGCGAAGAGCGTATCTCCGTCAATTTTTCCATAAAGTTCGTCAAAATTTTTTTGCATCTTTTAATGAATTAATAAATAGGTAATAATAGTAACTAATCAGTGATAATGAAGTTTATAATTTAAAATTTCATAGGTACTACATAAATTTTAATTATAGAACAAGGTTATCAATGATTGTTACGGTTGGGGACGTTTATTCATCTCGGTAAGTGGAAATTTTTTTAGAAATACTTTTAATAATTTGAAAAATTCAAATAGTTTAAAATTTTTTTAAAGTTTTGTGGGAACTGGCATTTCGCCGAATGCGATAAATTAATGCACGACATTATGGAATTCGATAATGGTTTTTTGAAAAAGTTGTTGCATCGAGTACTCACAGGCAAAGTCGGAGAATTTCCTGATTGTGAGATCTTGGTAATTTTTTCTTTTTTTCTTTTTTGTTTATATTAAGTTGCCGCGAAGTTAGGAAATCCCACTAAAGAAACCTTCCCTTCAGGTGAGATGTTGTTTCAGCTCAGCTCAAAGATTCAATTCCCATCCTTAGACGAGATAAATCCGTCAAATCGAGTCATACTGGAAGCCTATCTATAATAATGGGTGAGGCTGAGTAAACCTTCTACTTTTAGAAGAAAAATAAAAGAATTTATTTCGAAAGCAATCGTTTTATTTTTGCTCTCAATTTCAATTTTTTCAATTTCAGGTTCGTCGTCATCTTCGTGGCTTTTTCTTAGATCATGAATTCAAGGATCCCAGAGATAGTATTTTCTGGCTTTCAGCGTTAATTGGCTGTCATGATCCGATTGCGAGACGGAGCAGACTACTGATGATCCTATATGGACCCACAAAATTTGTAAATGAGAAAGGTTTAAATCTGTTGTTGTTTCTCTGTGTTATTAATATTCACTTTTTGTTCTTTGCTAGTTTTTTTTAGAGTTCAAAGGTGAAAATAATGGAATATATAAATTTCATATCATATTATTTAATGAATAAATGAGATATGGCATTGGAAAAAGATCAGAAAAGAGATCACGTAACATGGTTTTTAAGAAACGATTGATTGGGATATTCTTTCAAATACAACATTGCGAAATTTTTTCGAGAGTTCAGAAAAAATTGGACCGCTTTCACTTAGTTTAAGTCGCATTATGACAAGTGAATGTATTCAATTTAATAAGTACATTTGGTCAGAAAATGATTTATTCAATCTTATGGAAGATATGACAAGTTTGTAGTGCTTGCTTTTTTCAAAAAAAAATTTTGTGATGTGAATTAAAAACTTAACTTTCTAAAAAAATTTGTAAACTATTTTCAAAACTTTTTCAGCCTCTCCTGAACCTTGGACATTGGACAATTTTGTTGCTTTACTCGCTCATCGGCCAGCATTGATTCCTGTTGCATTTATTAATCGTGCAATTCATGGTCATACTCGAGAAATTGGCCAGTTATTTGTGCAAATGAAAACAGTAATCGTTAAAAATATATAGTGAATGTATGATTGTTTTTTACTCATAGCATTTTTTCTTTGCTTCCAGGTACTTTATCGTTGGAATATTAACATCTATCGTGCATTGATGGATCCTTTGGCATCCACCATGAAAGCATTACCTGCGGCATATAAACGAACATTTCTTGCATCAATTTATGAATCAGAAGCTGAACTATTGAAAGAACTTCTAAGCAATGAACCTTGTTAGTGCATTATAAAGTTTTTGCATTAAATCCTTTACCTTCGAAATGTCGTACTCAGTTTCAATTGCTTTTAGACTTTTAGACTTTCAGTTTTTTCATTTCCAATTAAAAATGTATTAATTCGATACTGCTGTTTATTTTGTTATGTAAATTGCAGTTAGGCGCTGGAAATTCATGGAAGAACTAGCTTCATTGCACTCAATCTCGCAGCTTATGGATGCTTTGATTGCTAATATCTAATCGTTTTCCATAATAAATTTGCAGATTTTTTACGCTTAATTTGGATGTTATTTCAAGAGTTTCTACAGTGACCTGAATATTTGATTTTGCATGATCTGTCGTATGAAATCTAAGAAAAATTGCATAATAATTTCTCGGGATTTCTGAATAATTTCTATCATTTACTGATTTTTATTCTTTCTTTATTTATGTTTTATTCTTTCAGTTTCTTGTTTTTATTCCATAAAAAGGTTTTGTTAATAATTATGTTACTGATTTCCTTTTGAATTTTGGTTTAGTCTTATTTAATTTGTTTGTTGTTTGTGTAATTATGTAATTTTGTGATAAAGGTATTTAATTTTGTTGGGTTAAGTTTTTTGTTATGCATCAGTTCTTTCCGTTTCAGTTGCTTTTAGACTTTTAGCGTTCAATTTTCTCTTGCTGTTTTCGCTTTTTTCATTATAGAATCGTATTTGTTGTTCGTCGATTTTTTTGTTGAATAAATTTGTTGCTTTTTGAAAAATTGGTTATTAAAGCGAATGTAAGTCAACGATAGATAACGATTTTTTGTATGGAGTGTTGCGTCGAAATTTTTCATTGAAAAAAATGTGAATGATTTTGTATTTCCCTTTTGAATCAAATAAATATCATTGGCGATTTGATTTATGCGAATCGCAATCGCACGAATTATTTTTGCGCTATCGACGTGAGTGATTTCCGAAATCTAAAATTGTCGAAATTATATTTTATTCAAATTTGCAATGATATTTCGGTTCGATCCTTGTGGAATTTTTTGCGCATTCCTCACATATATCGCAATGATCTATGCCGATTATGTCGTCGTAAATTGGCTGATCGTTCCGACTTTCTCGCAGAGGTTAATCTTTTCAAATTTCCGAGAGGGGTGGAGTTAATGGTACTAATTGAACGGAGTGGTGGCTGAGGCTGAAGAGGTGCTCGCAACGGCAGTTCTGCGCTGCTCGCCACGCACCTCTGTTATATGGACGGACGGTGGGTTATAACTCCTTTGCGAATATTTCCATCCTTGCTAACAGCAAATGATGAACATTGACCACTCGCTTAGCGAGGTGAATTGTTTTATTTGAAGGATTTAAAAGGGCTATAAAATTGTTAATTAGTATGGATTCTGGAAAAAAGAGCCCAAATGCAAAGTAAAAGTTACTTTGCTTATTTTTGTTTTGTATAAATTTATTTAAGGAATGTTCATTTTTAAGTTTGTGGGGAGTTTTGCACGCGGTTATTTTCAATACGGTGCTATTTTTCGCTTTGCTAGCTCATATTCGTGCTATGATTACTGATCCAGGCGTTGTTCCAATTGATAAAACTTTGTCAGTTTTCCGATTTTTTTCACCCATCAGCTTTAAATCAATTTACTGGAATTTTTGAAAGTTTTTAAAAAATGTTCGTTGAAATTTTAACCTTTTTTGTTGAATTATTTTTTCATTTCTCGAGAAGAATGATTCAAAAAAAACTGGAAATTTTATTCATATAAATATTATCCTACGAATATATAGAACCATAAATAATCAAGAAAAATTCTGTCGGCGGAGTATCTCAAGTGGCGATGATTGGGATTCGGATCAAGAAACTATTTTCATGAAAAATACGTTGAAATATGTGGTAATGTTTTTCTTTTTTTGTTCAACTTCATGTTTACATTATCAATGTCCGTTAATATAACTTGCTGTCTTTCCTTTTATCGTTTAATTTCCAAACCATGGCGTATTTGAGTGGTTTTACATAGATAATGAATTTGATAATTAATGCCGTTTGATAATTAATTTTTTCAAAAAATTGTGAAGTCCTATCCCACTTATCTCACCTAATCCCATGCTGTTATTTATACCTTTTCTGCATGGTAAGTGTAGAATGGAAAATTTCGCGAAATCTTTTTGAAGAGAAAGAAAATTCGTAGTGAATATGTGAAATGATCATATTCTACTTTCAGCACTTCATCTTTTATTAATACTTAATTTAATGTAATTTCTATTTTTTTTCATTTGTTTATGCCATTATCATATTAGTTTATTTCATTTTTATATTCCTTAAGTCTTAAGAATATAGTGCCTTGCCGCACTTGGTTTTCCAATAAGTAAATGAATAGACAGCCGAAATAGGTAAAAAATTGAAATCGATTGCTACATATTATTAAAGGGTGAAAATTGGACTATATGTACGAGGTGTGAATCTTATCGACCACCTAGAGCTCATCATTGTCGCATTTGTCGTCGCTGTGTGCGGAAAATGGACCATCATTGTAAGTTATTGTAGATGAAAAAGTATTTTAAATTTGGTGACCTTAATTTTCTAAGTTATTTATATGAAAGAACCATTTTAACGTTTCGCGCTACGGAATATTGTTTATAATATATATAATTATAGTTCTTTTTAATAAATTTGTAGGTCCATGGGTTAATAATTGTGTTGGTGAATTCAATCAGAAATATTTTATACAATTTCTTCTATATATTGGCTTATCATCACTATATGCTCTTTTGTAAGTTACTTCTTTTTCTTTAAAAATGTACTGAATGGGCTTTGCAAAACGACTTAATTCATTGTTTTAACCAAACTGTTTTCTTAAGTTTTATGTGATTGCGAAAAAATTATATTATACCGAATTATACCGAATATTTCCATTAAATGAAACATTGTATTAGAATCTTTTAAAAAATTATTTTTGTCAAATTATTAAATTATTAAATATTAAATTATTGTCAAATTGTGATGCTTTTAATTTTTATTATCTTTAGTTGCTCGGTTAATTCCTCAGTTTAACTGCTCAGTTCTATTTGCTTTTAATTTTTATTATCTTTAGTTGCTCGGTTAATTCCTCAGTTTAACTGCTCAGTTCTATTTCATAATATTTGTTTTTAGTTTGGTTATGGGCGCTTGGATCTATCATGATGAACAAAGCATTACAGGTGCAAAGAGTCCGCAAGGTCCTATTGCTGATCACGCTAAGATGTTAGTTAACATACACTTCCGGTGGAGAAGTGGCACATGAATGGTTATGATGAAATACTGAATTTGGTTAAAAAACATGATATGCAATATAATTTGTTGGTTGCTATGTTAGATATTCTTTGAATTAAATTCTAATTCTAGTTCACTGCGTAGAAATTTAGTATTTTCACAATTTTTTTAGATTGCACATAATATTTTTATCTGTTGAAAGTGCACTTTTCGGTCTTTTCGTGTTAGCAGTTTCTTGTGACCAGGTTTTCATTTCTTTTATTATTTGCATTATTTATTATTAATGTAAATTTTTTAATTTTTTTCATTCAATTACATTAAATAGTTTTTTTTATTTATAATTAGTTTATTCTTTGTTTCAAAAACCTTAATATTTTACGAAAAAATCTTTTACACGCAAAGGAAAGAAATTCACCTATATTTAGAACTTGGATTTTTAAAATTCTTGATGCATATTGACTGAATAGTGTCGTAGATTTTTCTTGCAATAAAATTTTATCACAGATTCAAGCATTATTCAATGATGAAACGGCAGTGGAGGCGATAAAACGTAAAACTTCTGGTCAATACAAGATTCGTTTCCGTTCGAAGAAGGCAGTTTTACGAGAAGTATGCGGAGATGGTTAATATTTCAGTATTGGTTTTATTAATGCTTTTATCTTTATTATCTTTATTTATTGTAGAATCGTGGTTCTTTCTGGTTTGTAAAAGAATTCATTAGCTTTTTGAATATAAAATTCGCAAATTTTTATTTTATATTTTCTTTTATGCTTGAAATTCGATTATCTTATTAGAAGTGACAAAATCAATATCGATCTTTCTTTCCAGATTATGCAATAAAGCAAAATATTCGTCAACATAAGGTTTTGATGCATCTTAAACTATTAAGTAAATTACTATCTTGTGAACTTGTGTAGTTTAATTTTTTGGAAATTCAGGACCGATATTTACATGGTTTCTACCTTGTTCGTCTTTACCATCTGAACGTGATGTCATCAAATTCGCTCATCGCTCCGTGGATTTTGAAGTGTGATTTTGGGATTCACGAAATCAAAATCTCGAGCTATTTAAGCATTGAATATTTCTTTGGTTCTTTCAAAAGATACTCACTTTTTTTTTGCAATAGTTTCCTTAATTTCTGGTTATTTTTATCAAAATTAAGCGGTTTATCGCGTTTCGAAGCTTTTTTAAATTCTGAACTTTAAGTTTTGCTTGAGTAAATACGGCCGCTGATTACCGCCGCTTAATTAATTTCGAAGAAACGGAATAAGCCGTTCGTTTTCCAACCTTTTATTTATTTATTTCTTTAGTTTTTTGGTCATTCGCAGGTCGAACTCTCAAATAGCCTGTATTTCGATATTATAATGAAAAAAAATTAAACTAAAACGTTAAACGAATATGGCTGTTTTAATTCTACGGTTCGTTAAACATTTGTATCTTTTAAAGCCGTTCGATTGAAAATTGGTCCTTATGAGCACTTTTCATATATTTTTGATTTCTCCAATGTTACTTCTAATACCATTGGGGGAAAATAGGATTTAATGGAATTTGGTATACTGATTTTCATGCTAAGAGTGGGGTATTGCCATTAATGAATAATAGACCTAATGATATCAAATAACAAATGGGTAAGATTTTGGGTTTCCTTTGAACCGGTTACAAATTATTTAAATTATTGAAAATTATATTTATATATCTGTACTTGTCAATGGAAACGAATATTTTGCTTTGTTTTTCCATTTTTATTTCACTGGTTCTTCTAAATTAGAGAAATGAATTAAAGAAACACTCATTTATCTACGCATCTCGCCAACTTCATGATATCAGAGCTAAAACATACCTGCAACCATAAACCACTACCATTTATTTTATTCTTTCAAAATCATTTTGGAGCCTTTTGCCAAACTTTCAAACCTAAAAGAATTTCGTAAAACATAGTAATTTCTTCAAGAATACATACCCTAAATTATAAATCATATTAGATGTATAAAAATGTTTAAAAAAGACGTATATAATAAAATAACAAGTACAAAATTAGCCCAACCAGAAATATTAAAACTATAATTATAAGGTAAATCAACAATTTTATAAGGTAAATGGAACTCAATATGAAAGAATTTGGTGAAATTCGAAATACAAAAGATGTTCAAATGACGCCGTTTTAATAATATTGATGGAAAACCCCGAAAAAACTATAAATTTCGAATCGGCGCATAATCCTGAACTTCGTGAGAACACATGCACTAATAAAAAATATGAGTAAACATGAATGATTACAACCTAAATCAAAAAATTATCACAGTTCGAAATTATTATCAAATTATCACAATTCGGATATTAAATTGTAGAATTTAATAGAATTTCAATAGTCTTCGCATTAAAAAACTTTAATCCATGAAGAAGAATGTCAAATTTTCTTGGCAATTTGAAAATCAAAAATTTGTTACACTAATTTATTTGCAAAAAAATAGATTTATCATAACATTTTTAATAGCATTTTTGGTGTTATATAGCAATTTTTAAAGTTCTTTTCCCAAAAAGTGCCAAAGAAAATATAGTAAAAGCTTGATAAATAAAACAGAATTTCCATAAAAACACAAAAAAAATAGAAAATCCTAGCATTAACTTTTTGGCTACTCATTCATTACCAAATCCTTCAGTCTCATCGATGGCACGAGTTAGTTTTTCAGCCAACTGCTCGTAAGAACGATATGGTGGAAGATCGAGGCGATTGAAACATGTATGAGAACGAGGTAACCAGTTTTCTTTTCCAACCCGTTCAATGCAGAATAATTGTGGACCTGTTGAACCAATTAATTCCGAGAAACCTCCAACAGGTACACGACATGTTCCAGTGACAAATTGGAGTAGCCTAGCACGTTTCTCCTGATCAAGTGAACGTACAAACTGCCAAAACCACACGATCTAAATAATGATAAATAGATAAAAATTTTTTAATAGCAGATATCAGAAAATTTTACGAACTTTTATGCAAAAACAAAAACCTCTTGAAAAATTTGTAGCGAAAAAATTTACTTGTTTGCTTTGTGGAGCATAATGTCTATACACAGTATTTCTTTGCCAATCATCAACGTCCACATCTTGCATGCCACAAAGAAGCAGTTCTAATTCGCGTTCATCAAAGTACAAAAGCCATTCGAGAGGAAAGACTGAGTTGAAACCATTAAAGAAAGCACGAGTCTGTTGTTCTATTCCACGATTGAAGCGCCATTCCATTAACAACTCCAAATATTCATCTTTATTCTCTTCGCATACTTTCTGCAAAAAGGTATATTCAGATGGCACATAAAGCTTTGCCAAGATGATAATATAAAAATTTAAAAAATTACCAAGTCGGCACCATCATCTTTTAATTCGTGAGTACGAATCTCTCCTAAAAGTTCGTAATCCGCCACAAAATATAATTCCATATCACATTCATCAATATTGTTTTCCTTAATCCACATGAGACTATTATAAAATTCAGCATCGATACTTTCCAGATCTTTCAGAGTCAATTTTTTATTTAGCATTTTCTTATAAAAAGGCATTGTAAAACCGCTATAAATGAATTTGCCATGAAATAGTGCCTGCAATAATATAATAGTGGAATTCAACAAAAAATATCAAAAAAATTTAAAACGGTCGAGTAGCCTCAAATGTTCAAATGGTTGCGCAAAAATAAAATAGCAAATAAAACAAATCTCGAAAAAAAAGACAGAAATGTAGATTTAGCAGGTCGTTGTGGAAAACTTATGAAAATGAATACTAATGGAAAACAAACCATTGCGATAAACCGCCCAATGTATTCAAAATATTTTAAATGATCAGGATTGATAAATGAAGCAGGATTGATTTGCAGACTATAGTTGTTCGCGCCAGCATACATAAACAGGCAATACATAGGATTTAAAACTTCATGCGAAAGTAGAAAAAACCATTCTCTAAAATGAATGAAAATTTTCGACATGCAATTTTTTACCAGTAACATGAGCAGAAATATTAAAATATAGAAAAGATACTAATAAGAAAAGGTGAAAAAAGAAATAAATACCTCGCAACACCTCCATAATCGAGTCCTTCCTCGCCACGGAATTGGATATATAATCGCCGACGCAAATCTACTGCATTTTTGCGCATAATCTGAAAGTGTATGGAAATTAAAATATTTCTAACTCTTTCCGGTTTTTTTTATTTTATTATTCAATTCAAGAATGGAAAAAAATCAAATCAAAACAAATTTTTTATTTCACTTCTTTGAGAATAAGGAATTAAAAGCATCAATAAGATTTTAAAATATTAACAGAAAAAATAAAGTCAGTAACCTCTTGAAACGAGTCTTCAAATAGATTACTGCGAGAAACGATTATTTTCACGTGGTTAGGGACACTATTCGACTGAAATTCACCAAAGTATTTAAAATTATTTTCAGTAATTAATTTTTTTAAATTTGCTTTCAATACTGCTCTGTTAATGAGATATAATAGTCACTGCCAAGGCGTATAATAAATGCTTCATTCCATAATACTCATTTAAAGTTAGCTTCGATTGCTCATATTCATGAAAATGACCATTTTATTTATGAAGATTTCTCAATAAATTTAACAACTTTCAAACCAAATAGATAAATAAATATGAAATATTACCAAGCAAAGGTATCGAAATTGTGCTATTTTCCATCTGAATGTCCTTTCAAAACTCATCATTCCTTGTACAGCCATAGGTCCAACTGGCTTTCCTGTTCTCGGATCATTATAGGTGGTCGACTTCGTATTATGATCAATAAAGAACGGCACACCCTGTTCAGTAAATCTGATTTCCCAACCCTCAGGCAATGGTTCATCGGATATACTAAAAATAGCAAACGGAATAAAAACCAAAGTTAAAAAAAACTGAAAAATGAAAATAGAAGGATCTTCATGAAATGAAAAAGCAAAATTCAGTTGTTGTACTCAAAATATCAATAAAATTATCACAAGAAGAATATAAATGGTCCACTAAAAAAAACAAATTAGTAGAAAAGCTTAAAAGGATATCTCGTAAATATGATAAAAATACCCTTGGGTTCGTGGATCCTCCCACTGTGTAGTTCTATTGACATGATTAACAAAGTAAATACGACCAGTGCTAGGGTCAGCTCGTTTTTCCCATCCATTAGGCAATGGTCCCAATGGATCATCATTTGCAATCATTGCATTTGACTTAAAAAAGCATGGAAATCATTTAGAAATAAGCACATATTTACATCATGACTAACTAATAAAAAACGATTAAAAGATACAATTTACCTGCAACAAATATCTTTGCTCCCACTGGTGCATGGCTTGATCTCTATTAGACTGCCATAAGTCACGAGCTTGCAACATATCTGCAGTTGGTCTTTGCCATGTTGTTGTTCGAGTATTATGGTCAACATAATATACTCGTCCACGAGGGTCACGCCGCATCTCCCATCTGAATCACGATGAAAATATTTTTTACAAATATTTATGGTCAGCTAAAGTGAAGAATTACCCAGAAGGCAACGGAGTTGTGCTTGGCCGTTCCCAAGTAGTACTTTTAGTGGTATGATCAACATAATATTTTCGACCAAATGCATCATAGCGCAATTCCCAGCCTTCGGGAAGCGGCTCTTCAGAAGTATTGGAACTACTGGAAGTGCCAGTTTGAGACAACATGGTATCACGAGTTTTGTCTTAAAATATATTCATTAGATCAAATCTTTTTTACTCGATTTTTCTTTTTGTGTTTGAAATATGAAATATACGAGTGAGTTAATTATTAACAATGTTCGAATTTTAAAAAATATATGCCAAGAATGTGAAGAATAAATGAATAACGAAGTAGGATGTTAAATAAAGGCCCCAAAATAATAGAATGAATTGCGCTGTAGCAAACATCATGGATTGAATTACAAGACTGGCCTTTTAAATTAACCTCCCTACTCATATTCATTTCTTTCCAATCGCTATTAGATATATCTAGATTCTATAAAACCAACTACCAGAATAGAAGCACCAGCGTTTACACGAATATTTTTAATATTATTCTATAGTAGCGTTTAAATATTCAGTAATAATTTATTCAAGTCTGATAATTAAAAAATGCAAAAAAATTCATTACTCGAGTTGTTTCTACGACATGTATTTGTTAACGCAGTTCCATTCGATGAGCCGGCAATAGAACCATTTGTTATATTTATATTGTTAGATGTTGATGCCTCTCCACCATATCCTTCAAGCCCTCGATTACTTCCTAAATTGTTTGTTATTTTTCATATGGAAAAAAAAATGATCTACAGAATTAATATGCTAACAAAGAAATGCATCAAAAATTTGTTTTTCGTTTCAACAGATTTTTCAGATTCAAATTCGGCATCAAAAAATTCGCCTTTCGAAAACCGACTAAATCTTGCGATAGAATTATACAGTAGTAACAGGTAAAGTAAAGTAGAAATAGAGAGCTTAACTATATTAAAATGAGAATCAAATATGATTCAGAATGAAAAATCAAGACAAAGATTGGCGTATTCTCTATGAAAGGTCTAACGTGATTAAACACGAAAATCTGAGAACGAAAGAGAATGAAAAAAATTGCATTTTGCAAGAAAAGAACAGAAAATACGATAAAAAATTTCAAAAACAATTTATAAAAGTAACTGCATTTACTATTAGAATTTATTTATTATTACTCTTTCTCCAATGAATGTTATAAATAAAAAAAATTACAGGGAAAAAAATTACTGTTCTGATTTGTATGTTTCTGACCAAAATATATTCCATTATTCACGAAAATTTGAAAAATTCTTAATTTTTTATTGAGATACTTTATATTTATTTCGCATAATCTGACCAAAAATTTGTGAAAGACGAATTGCATTACGGGAAAACGCGATTTGAAATTTACCAGCGCTTCTTTTCTTCTGACGTTCGATGACTCCATTAAGTGATATTTTAAGTTCACCAGATTTACTATTATCCTTTGATGAATTCACATGTAATGTTATCTTCGTCATATCAACTAAACAATCATAAACAAAATAATCAATCATAAAACAAAGAAAAAGTAGTAAAAAGTGAATAAATATTAAAAAATGCTTATTGCAGCCTTCATTTAATTTCTCCAAACAGTTTTACAAGAATTTTCTTGACTGAAAAAAGTTGCATTGCATTAAAACTAATATTAAGAAAACGTTCATAATTTGCTTATTGTACAAATTTTCAATCAATAAGTGGTATAAAACAAAATTTTATATAGGAAAATATCAAGCAAAACTAGCTATAAAATTTTACATTTTCCATTGTCAGATTCTTTTTTCAGTGCGTGTGACATTTTCAAACATTTTTGACCAATCAAAGAATCTTCAAACAATTTTGACCTGGCAAAAATCCGAAAATCGATAACTGACATTTCATTAACTTGAACCTAAAAAGAATTATTTTTATATTAGAATACATATAACGATATTTCAATAGGAGAATAATTCGAAAAAAAATAAAAATAACTAAGATGGGCCAATCTGGAAATTTACAATAATAAGAAAAGCAAACAAGAAAAAATTATCTTATTTAAAAAAAGGAACAATAAAGGACAGAAAATACCAAAAATTCTTCATCCCAAATGGGTGTACTCGTTTTCTTCTTAATTGTTGTCTTTACAGAAAGCGAAGAATCCACCACTAATTCGATATAAACATCAGGTGGTTTACTAAATAACCCTCTAACGCCATGCAGTTTTGCTGATATAACTAAAAAAAACAGTATTTAAAAAATAATAAAGCACGCCAAAAACCTAAGAAAAAAATCTTTGAAAAACAAACCGGTTATAGTAAGCGGAAATAATTTTAGGTGTTCTTCATTATTAACATTTTGATTTGCCATTCTTTTCCTCTCAAACTTTAGTTAATTGAGCATTCAACCGAAAATGTATAAACTAAACAAGTGATATTGACCGTCTCTGAAAATATTTTCCTCATTTTCCATGATCGATTCTTATTCATATATATATAAAATTATAACTAGTTCTCTAGGCTTCGAATTCAGATGCAATTATAAAAATATAGAATTAAAATCGCATTTATAGCCAAACTAAAGTATCTCACGATTATTCCAAGAAAACCCAATTTAAAATATTGGAAAAAATGATAATTTCCAGCAAAAATAAGAAAGGGAAAAATTTAATGAGAAAATGGCTTTAAATAGCAAAACATTTTTATTAAAATTTTTACAGCACGATAATGAATTATCATAAAAATATAAGCTATTCCAAACAGCATCAAAAAACTTAAAAAATCAAAATAAAACATTTTTTTACTATTTGAATCATTGAACTAGTTAACTACGAAAAATAAAGAAAAAAGATCCGCATCTTCATTTAATCAAAATTCCTCGTCTGAATTATCGTGAATAGAATTTTATTTTTTCTTCGCCTGAATTATTACTGAAAATTTTTTTCCCTGTCGAAGCCAAAGTAAAAAAGGAAAGAAAATGAAGATAAAAAAATTTTCAAATAATAAAAACAAAAAAAACGACGAATTTTATGAAAAAAAACGAGGAAAGAGGATTGAGCATTTTCACATGTAGAAACGAAAAAATTAATTAAAATAGACTATTAATAATATCCAATAAATTACAATTCTTATAAAATAAATAAATAATTTGAAATTATGAGAATGCAAGAAACTAGCAAATAATAAAAAGAACTCAAAAAATAATGATAACACCGGTTTCAACGATTTTATTAAAGCTGTCATATTGGTCGTTTACTAGTTATAAAATAAAATATCGGAGTAAAAAATAAAATAAAGCTTTGAATAAATAGCCAAAAAAATGATTAATATTATTAATAAACAACAAATAACAATTATTCATGTTTGCGCCCTCGGAAAGGGTGTAAAACTGCAAACCGTTGGGTACTCTTTTTTTTACCGTCCCTATACTATTTCCTCTTTCTGCTGTATTTTCCAAGTAATAAACATTAAAACTTTTCGACAAATGTGAAATACCTTAACTCTTTCAATAAATATAATAAATAGGTCGAAATAATAAATTAGTGCCACATAAATGACTAAAAATAATTTCCAAAAATACTTTGCAACTTTAAAAAAAATTTTGTGAAATAAATTAAGAAATTAACAAATTTATAAATAAATTAATAAATTTTAACAACGTAAATAATTTAAGAAGGTGGAAAAGTTCTTATTAATTTCGTTACTTGAATAGTATCTGTGCACTCAAATCGTTAAAATCACCCCTTACTAATTTAACTTCTACGTTTAATAAATATTCTTTATAGAAAGTCCCATTCATTTGAAGAATCATCTGATATGATAAAACAATTTTCATAGAGAACAAAATCCACGCATCGTAAGACATTTCATTACTCATTGAAAATAATTTCAGAAAAAAATTATTACGATAAGGACATTTCCAAAATGTATTGAACGTGAAAATCGAAAAATTTCGAAAGTTTGGACAATTGCAGCCAAAAATTTGGTGAATTCATTTTCAACATGTGCTACTTTTTTCTTCAGCAATAGGTACTGCTTGCTGTTACTGCCGTTGATTTTGCACCGCTCGTCCGAGAAGTATTGCTAGGTCTAGGCTGGCTGTTTCACCTTTAACGGCATTACCGTCAAGGAATGGGAATCGAATTCATTCTAGTGAAGGTCTTCCTCGAGCGAAATCTTAAAACCGCAAATCACGTTCACATTTTCTGTTTTATTTGCCTAAAATGTTGAATTTTGATCAGTCCATTTTACTCGTTTTTGCTGCAGTCTTTCTTCTGTCTTATTGCGATTACATTCTTTTGATTTTTGATTGCGGTTTAAAGAAACATAGATCATTTGCAATTTACTGATTTTCTTATGGAAATATTCCTAAAGTTATTCCCTGGATTAATATTAATTATTAATTCTCGTCAGGTTTGCATTCAGATGGTTTATATGTTGGTCGCGAGCATCACCCACATTTTTTATGGTGGACTTACTGTTTAAAGGGATGGCGTGAGGGAAGGTGAGGCAGGCGTCTTGCCTCTCAGCACGATCTGAGTCTGATCTGAGCCACGCTACCTACACGCCTTTCCTGCTTCTATCCTTACGAACAGAAAGTTGAAATTTGCCGCGGTTTTATGCAAATGAATGAATGATTAGAAATGCATTGACAAAAGTATGAGAAAAATTAATTATTTCCTATATTTTAACATATTCAACTGATAACGGTTTGCAGCGAGCAGCTCCCAAATTCATTTTTTTTAAATGTAAGGCAGTTCTAATAAAATTAATATTAAACATTGTTTAAATTTTCAATATTATCACAAATTCGAGAATACAATAACAGTTATCTACTACAAAAAAAATCACTGATAAGAGTTTATCGATAAACATTTATATTTACTCAAATATTTCGGAGTATAAGCTGTCTATTTAATTATCTTTTAGTTCATTTTCAATTATTAATATAATATTTTCAAAAGGAAATAAATCCAAAAAGGACTAAAATTTTTTAAAAAACTTCAGCAGCGCAATGATTGAAAAGATACGTACGAATGGAGCAAAAAGAATAATTGCCGTCTTAAATAGATTGGAAACGAATAGCGATTTTTGAAAAATTTCCACAGCATCGAGAAAAAAACACCTAAATTAGCTTCTCCGACGACTTTTACCTGTAAAATTTCCTGAAAAATTTTATCTTTTGAAATACATTTAAAAATCGAAATCAAAGAAATTTTTATTTTTTTATTCTCGCTTTCGTAAATTTTAGAAGAAAGCATATGACGCTGAAAAGGACAAACGTTAAGTGGCAAATGTTCATGTATGCAATCAATAAAGCATACAAATATAATAATATGCAACTGATAAAGATATGCAACTGATTAGGATGTGCAACAAAGAGATTTGCAAATTTAGTGATAGCAGACAGCTATAAAAGCGATGACATTTCTTCACGAGTTTCCATTTTGTAAAAAAATGATTTAGTTGAGTTGATAATCTTTTTTTGTTTTATTTATTTATTTGCTTATCCACTTCAATTACTTTTTTTCTCTACTTTTACCAATTTGCAGCAATTTTTTTATTCTACAAACAGCATTTTTTAGCTTGTCGGGCATTCGCCATTTTTAGCTTGCCGGGCTCTACTGGCTATCAGTATAAGACCACTTCGCTGGAGAACCACTTAGTGACGGAAGTATAGGTGCATTTGCGATATTCTACAGATTTCATTTTATGACGGATTTACTCTCGTCGAAGGGCAAAACCGATGAACAAGAACTTGCAACTTGCAATGATTACTTAGACCCCCGCCGAAGCCATACACCATTTGGTCACACATCCCATCCTGATTTTTGTCTAATATATATGCTTACAATTATTATTTACCTCTCTACATTAACAATAAATAATTTATTCAAAAATGAAATAATATTTTGAAAGAAAATATGAAAAAATAATAAAAATGCTGCCAAAAAACCATTTTATCATTTTTTATTACATATATTAAAAAGAATTAAGCAAAAAACAAAATTAAAAAATATGAAAAAAAGCAAAGAAGAAAATTAAATGCAAAATACAGAAATTTATTAGAGGTAACTGCAATTAATTTGAGGTAGATTTGATTCGAATTCAAACATCATCGCAAAAAAAAATAAAAATGAAAAAATGTTAAAGCAAAAAAATAATAAAATAACAAGATAGCAGTAATGATTATTAATAACAAAAATAAGTTTCAACAAAACAGCATTTGCAACAAGCATAAGGAAGCCGTCCAAGTTTAGGTGGTCAGGTGGAACCAGCGCAGTAACAATAAAAACCATGTACCATGTGTATTATTTGTCGTGCATCGTGTTTTGAACTCAATAAGGAAATATTAACAAAACAAATTAAGAAAATATGAGAACCATTTAGGTGCAAAACGAAAAATTTTCAAGAAATATACCGAATCATGGGAATTCTCCACGGAATAAATCGTGCAGTTAATTTCTCGCTAAATTTTCCTCGATTCTATCTATAAAAGGAGTTATTTTAAAGCAGTTATCCACGTTATTCAAGCTCTTTTATTTAATTTTACTTAATTAAGAAATATTTATAAAAAATACTTCGAAATTTGCGATTCGTAGAAGTTGAACCAAACCAACAAGACAGAGGAAAATATTTACACTAGCGAGATAATAATTCTTCGGGACAATCACGAAACAGTACCGCGCCCAGATCGCTCCCGTTGCACACAATGCAGCATTCTCAAAATTATTTTTATTGGCCATTTTAATTCACTCACTATTGGAATAAATTGCTTGCTGATGCAGTTTCTGCGTCACTAAAGTCCGACAAATTACATATATGAATTATAAACAAATTATAAATGACAATTATTAGTTATCAATTATTTAACAAAGGCATCCTTAATCCAGTTTTACTTTTATTAACATTGCATTCCTTCTAATAGCTGACACTATCAGTTGCTCCGTTAACTGCAAAGGTAGAAGTTAGCCAGCCACTCGATGCTAGTAAGTGCCATTCCTGAACCAAGTTTTCTACCGTCTAAGCCCATATCGCTCGGCTATAAGTTCCACCGGATCCAGCAATTAGCGAGACATGCATCAATGTGTGCGATACGCAGATAAGGACATGGTCAGCGTAGGTCGTGATATTTTTGATGCAAGAAAGGAGATGTCTAGTAAGCTATAGTATCCTATCGTTTATCGTCCTTGGGAATTGATAGCAAGATTGCTTTGCTCCAGCTATCTTGCTTCGAATCAAATGACAAAGGTAATTGTGCAATATCTGAAGACTTCAGCCCGAAAAGTTCTATCCTCCTTCAGCTTCTAAACGGCCGAGATTATTTTTTGCTCTGTTGGCTGCAGTTACAAGCATATGATTCGATCTTTGGAAGTGGGCGGAATGACTTCCCATTATCGCCCACTAAAGCAGTCGTCTTCATATTCAAAACCATACGGGCTTATCGCTTTAATAGCTCATGCAGCTTTCAAAGCGTTCGATAATTAAGACTTCTTGCCATGTGTGCTCTGCCAGTTTTTTCGGATAGTTAGACAATCCTTCTGTTATCCAACCAACTTATTTCCGAGTGATATAGTTTTTAAAGTAAATTTGACCGAGACAAATCTATTAATTACGACCAATATTCATCGGTCGTTCCAAAGGTACTAGGTGATTGCATAAGTGCGATAATGTAATTTGAAATGCGCTTCCAAATTTTGGTTAAAACTGTTGAAAGAACTGTTGAACGCCGTTTTCTACGAATTGCCAATTTCATGCGGGTTTTGGCACGGACCATAACGTGATTTGGCCCATAAATGTTGCCACTTTCCGTGAAACGGTTGTCCAATACGGAACTTTTCCAACAAGGATTGATCACGATACAATCGAACAAATAAGGAGAATACCATGGCTGGATGTCTTCGATTTCTTCGGAAGCCTATTAATAGCAAAAAGTCCATATACCACGGCGAAGCGAAAAATGCGCTTTCCATTGGCCGACTGGATCTTAATACTATATTTGTCAACCACAAAGGCCAACTTGGTCAAATCCAACCTCCATCTATGATCTCATTTTTCGGAAAAGATGCAGTTACTGTCAACTTAGAATTTATTTCTTGATGAGCCTATCTCACAAAACATATATGCTGACGATCAAAATCCATCAGAATTTTCCTTTGAATTGGGTGCATGTGATTGTTGACAGATTTCATTAGACCAGATCCATCTTTTTCAAACATAATAATCATTATGCTGTTTCACCTCGAATTATCAGAAGCGTCGAAGTCAATATAGCCAATATCTCCATTCCAAGCAAGATAATGCTGCACCAGACACGAAGCAACAAAGATGAATTCGACAAGAGATGATATTTGCACAAAGAATGAACAATTACTGGCTGTCTTGCCACTGACAATTATAGCCTTGTCGCGAGCTCACAGAATCGATGGATAACTGTTCGTCTCTTTTCACTCCAACTCGAGGTCTCGAATAGCTGTTCTGCTCTATTTTCGTTCCAAATCACATTTTCATTTTACTAGGTTTAGTTTGCAAATTTGTCGCATATATCACCGAGTCAGTGATGTCATACATGTCAGTGAACGCTAACATTACCTTTAACCATATATTGTATTACTTTATACTATATATATTAATGAACTATTGCTTTGCTTGATTTTATTTCTAAAGTATAAAATGATGGTTCAAAATTTTAATATATAAAATCTAAACCAAAAAGCAACGATATTAGAACAAAATTCTTTCTACAAAATACTTCTGATTTGAAAAACATTATTGGAGTAGCAAATGTGAGCAGAAGAGTGATAAGACTGGAAATATGATAAAATTAAGATAGCAACGAATTACTTTGTTATGGAATCTTTTAAACTAAGGTGAAAGAATTAACTTTCCCTCTTGCTTTAAAATATTTTAATATAAAAGTTCTATTTAAAAAATATAACATATTTCCGGATTATGACAAGGACTACCTACACTTCTATCATTGCACAGTAACAAGCAGACAGTAGAGCTGGCCAAACCAGAAATGAAGAAAGCTGTTAGAGGAGAGTATTTTAAAACTAAATTTCTTCATAATAGCTTTTATTTCAGATTTCAACGTGTTCGAATTAAGAAAATTCGAAAGAAAAAATATTTTGAATAACACAATAATCCTACCGTAAGTTGGCCAGTTATTTATTATATCTGGTCTAGAGTGAGCTGAATTAAACCTAACAAAAAAGAAACATTTCGATATACCTGATAAACACTAAGCTTCTGAACAGGTCTAGTAAAATCGGACACACCAGCTCCAACAAGGCACCACTTAATTGTTGGCGCCCAAAAAAATACGGTTTTTGGGCCAGCTTCATGATTCCAAACTGCTTTTGCAAATGAAGGCAAAACTGGATAAATGTACTAAAATTTAAAATTTCTAACTATCAAAATACAAATATCAATCAGCAAGCCTCGGAAATTTAAAAATATATCTATAAACTGATTACAGTTATTAAAAAACTGGAGAAACCTTGTCACCGATCCGGCATAAACCGCGATATATCGCAGACATTTGTAGTGCCTGAAAACAAACATTTTAATATTTTCGAAAGGAAATATTACCGAATCCTTTCAGAATGCGCAAAAACGCTATTATTATTTAACAATATTGCTATTATTATTGTTGCATTGTAATATTATTTGCTATTATGATGATTATGAATATTCTTCTTTTTCTAGCAGCAAAAATTATTACTGGTTTGGCTCGCTCCATTTTTAAGCTTCCCGATATTATTCCTGGAAGTTACCGAAACATGCCTTTTTTCATCGTAAGCGCATATGTTGCTGGGCTGTCTAGACACTTAAAATCTCTTCCGACCATATCAAAGATTTGATTCGCCAACTTCACTTTTTGATGTCATCTATCAGAGTTTAGGAAGTATCGAGATGTGCGTAGGCGACGAAAAACATGGTGAAACCAGCGCAGGCACAGACTTCGCAACACATAGTACCTGGGCGAAGGTGGATATGATAGGAAACTCTGTCCACTTAGCAGGATGTAACTTAGGCAAGAATGGTCAGAAACAGAGAACTTCCTATTATTTTCTTCTCTCGCTAGCCAAATTTTGAAATCACATAAAGAACTGTGCGTACTATAGCCAGACTGATGAGATTTTTTGCTATGGGGGCAATTGTTGCGGCGATTTCAAAGAAGTTTTGCCAGACGAAAAAAAGGACAATTATACGAGCTGGAATTTAATTTTTCGCAAGCAATTAGAAAATAGATCCGAAATATTTAAAAATCAGACACTTCTTGGATCGTTGATTTATAGAAATTGCCTTATCGTACAACACTTTCGCCTTACTTACTTTGAATTGAAGACCAGTTTTATCCGCAGCTGTCGACACCCAATCTGCTGTAATATCAGCAAAAAGGACAACATCAGTTAGCATTATCCACGATAATATGCTTCGGCCTGATTTGTGCATTACTTTCTGGTTGCAGCTAAGCGCTGCCCATAACCCCCAATAACTACCGCATAGTTGAAAATTACTGAAAACAAAACCTTGACGCACGCCAATTTTGTATTTTATATATCATTCTCCATAATTACGAATATTATTATTATTATTATTATTATTATTATTATTATTATTATTAATTAATATTAAATATAACACATTTCACCGAAAATTGTAATATTTTGATGGGAAATTCAGAAAAGAAGAAATCGAAATTTTTTGCGTTTTTTATCTCAAATTATCAATCAAACAATTTTATGAATTTTTTCACACTTTTTTTTTCGCATTTTCTTTAGATTTCTGCAACTTGCAAAAGTAAAAAAATTAATTTTATTCGCCATTTTATAAAAAATAATAACTCGCAAATTAAAATCGGAAAATAAATACGAAAGCAAAATGGGTGTCGAAGTCCGTTGTTTACAATCGATACGTAAAATCGATGTATAAACGGTGTTTCGAAAAATATTTTAAATGAGAAATGAAAATTTTCATTCTTTAAAATTAACCATCTAATTCTGGAAACGGCGAGGGATGGCGATTTAGATTATCTTGCTGAGAGTTCTGCAGGGACCCCTCAGCGCATCGTTAATTCCAGAGGGACCCACCCTAGCCAAGTGAATCCTTGGCAAAAATTTTTGTTTCTGACAGGATAACCGAGTGGAACACCAAGCTAGTTTGGGGAATGGTGAGAATTAACCACTATTTTTTGGACATGGATGGAAGATTGCAAATCTCGGACAAGAATATAGGACCCCCATTTGGTGTCCTTTACAGAAATTGCGGCCTAATCAGCATCTGGTATATAACGCTTTCACCTTTCTTACATTGATAATAGAACAGTTAGCTGGTGCTATTCGCACTTAGTCTATTGTAATTTTTCGTAATGTCAGCTAAAAGGACAACATCAGCCAATATAACTATCTCCATGACCCTGAATTAACGAGTAAATCTGCCACCTAAAAAAATCCGAGTGGTGCTGCCCACTTGTACTTCTATCATCAAATGACGCCTCCGCAAAAAACTTTTAATCGCACTAAAGATACAAAACTCAATTGCTGTTTCCAGTATGACCACAGTATTATCACAACAATGCCTTCGGGCACTTGGTAATCTCGAAACATCAAATTCAATGTGAACGCATGCTACAAAACTTGGTCGAAAAAATTATGCTTTCGACAAATAATAACCTTCCAATAAGTAACCTTTAACAATATTCAGAAATCAACGAAACACAATAGCACATACAATGTCTTTATTAAAGGAAAAAAAACCAATAAAAAACCATCAGAAACCATTTTCCCATTATTTAAATTAGATTGGCAGCGCGAGATTTTTATCAAAATTTACAAAAAAAATCAGTGAACTGAAAGGCTAAAACCGCAAATCGCTAAAACGGAAAAATTTTAAAAAATTAAAATTTAAACAAATTTTAAACCTTTCCCGCGCCTACACATCCTAAACATTACTAATAAATAATGACATTATAATATATAAATAATAAATACGAATTACAAAAAATAAACTTCATCTGAAGAATCGACCGCTTTTCTCAAGCTGACACAGTTCGATATTATCTTCGAGCAAATTAGCCTCAACACCTCACCAACGTTTTGCAAAATTTGAAAAAAAATCTTTGATTTTTCTCCCATATTTTGCTTAACTGAAGCGTTTATGTACACAAATAATGCGGTTTCCTGAACTTCGCATTTATTCGGATAAAACATGAAAAATCAAAGCAAATCAAATACATTAACCTCTGCAACTTTAAGTTTTATAGAAAATATGAAAAAATCAAAAAGATATGAAAAGGGAAACATGGGCTTGCTATTGACCAACTGTTACATTTTCATTTATTTTAGATCGTTTCTCATTCCAAAAAAATTAAAGATCCCAAAAAAATATCCAAGAAAAATTTCTTAAACATCAATCAAAATTATGTAAATTCTGAGGGTAAGAATGAAAGGATGGAAGGGAAATTTCAATAAACTACATTAAATGATAAAAAATGATAAAAAGCGACTGAGAATAAAAGAACAAACATTAACAATATCGTCATTAACTAACACAATAATTTACACCTGACGACACTGTAATTCAAAAGATATCAAACTGAAAAAAGGAATCAAATCTTTTTTCACAAAACTAAATTTTTCTATTTTCTACATATTTCAAATTTTCACAAAATTTTGCAACTAAGTTTAATAAAGGACAAATGAAAACAATCGCATACAACTGTAATCGCCAAAAAAAATGTAGGGAAAAATTCGTAAAAAAGAATAAAGAGATGAGTAAGAAATAAGAGATAAGAGATGAATAATAGAAGTTAAAATATGGATAGGAAGATAAACAATACAATGAATGGTTTAAATCAACGGAGAATCTGCAATAATTTTCAGCTCTAACAACAATTTCCTGATCCGCCTAATGGTGGATTGCCTCCTGGTGAATTCGGAGAACTCGGAGAATGTTGTGGACCAAGTTTTATACCATTTGCCTATAAAATTTTTATTAAATATACTTTAAATTAATAAATTACTTTAAAATGAATGCTGATCACTTACTTCATTGTTTATGTCGAATATGCCTTCCTGAATTTTTCGATAAATTTCTTTAGCTGTATCGATAAAAGCCTAGAAATTCATTAGAATATATTTAAAAAATTCATGGAATAACAATGAAATAAATGTGAACAACAAACCTCTTCGACATTAGCTGCTGTTTTTGCCGACGTTTCCATAAAAATAAGCCCATGCTCATGAGCAAATGCTTCACCCTCTTCCTTTTTTACTTCTCGACGAGCTTCCAAATCGCTGAATATAATCGCGGAATAAAATTTTCCAATCAAAACATACGTAAATCGAAGTCAAACTGCTTGTGCAAAAGCTATCAACTCAATCAATGAACATTCTTATAATGCGCTTAAATTCTCCAAACGCGATAATCTTTTAAAATAAAAACCTTTTATTGCCAATCAGCATAATAACCATATTCGAATTCGAATGTTGACGAGCATCTTCCAGCCAAGATGTTAAATGATTGAATGTATCCCTCCTGAAAAGAAAAAAATTAGGAAAAAAAATATAGAAAACATCATCAGTGCTTTTTTCCAAAGTGAGAACTTTACTTTTTAAAAAAAATAAAATTAAAATCCAACCTATTAAATATTAAAATAGCTTTTGCACTCAAATGAAAAACCAAATAATATAACTTAGTATTGTTTAGTTCGTAAAGAATGGCCGAAGATCAATCTTCAAATTATAATCTTATATCTAGTCCAATTATAACGAAAAATAAAGCAATATCTTGAGAATTTTTCTTAAAAAATTATACTTTTTAAAATTATATTTAATAAATTATATTTTTTATATTTTTATTTTTTATATTATTTATTTTATTTTATTTTTATATTTTTTATATTTTTAATAAATATCACCAAAATGTGCAAAACTTTCATGCGAGAATTTTTAAAACTGAGCAATGAAAACTGGTAATTTCTTGTAAAAAAAATGGAAAAAAATTGTATATAGATTCTTAATAGGTATACAATAATAAAAACAATTTTAAGAAAATTATCAATAAAGAAGAAAATTATCGAACCGAGTTATATCATAAACAAGAAGAGCTCCTGCTGCACCACGATAATATGACCGCGTTATTGAGCGAAATGATTCTTGCCCTGTGATTATTTTAACTAGTAATATTTAGTTAACTAATAAAGACTACTTTTAAATTAAGTATACCAACAATTTATTGTCAATTATGGTTATTAATAATTATTATAATTATAATAATTAAAATTATTATTAATATTCGCATTATCACAATTTTTAAAGCGAATTTCCAATAAAACAAATTATATTTTGTGGTTTCCATATAAAATAGGATGTAATATTAATAATAGGATGTAATAACAGAAAAAATAACAGTAATATTTCATTATTTTTTCCTTTCTTTCTATGCTGATAAATTTGATGCATTCCAGCATTCCTTCAGTACAAAATATTATAAAACATCAAACGTTCGGAATTTGAATTTGAATTAATTGAAGTACATATAAAAGTTCAAAACAATTCTGGTTCCAAAACTCCTAATAAAAATTGTTAAATTTGTACATAATTAGAAAGCAACTAATAAACAACCTAAATCAAAGATTATAATAATTCATTAAAATAAAATATAATTATTATAACAAAATTATTATTTTTGTAAAAATTTACCAGCAGTATCCCATATCTGCAGTTTAATTTGTTTACTATCGATATTTATCATGCGAGCACCGAATTCAACGCCTAAATTTAAAATAAATTTACAGAAACTACCAAAATAAAAAGTTACGGAAAGAACAAAGCAAATATTTATGAAAAATAAATAGAATTTAATTTCCAGAAAGGTTAAATTTAAAATTAATATATCTACTATAAAATAAATGGTGAAATGTATCAAAGGACTTGCCGATAGTGAGATCATGGACGGGCTGAAAACGCTTGTCCGTGAACTGCAGTAAAAGACACGATTTCCCTACTCCTTAAAAACAAAAATGACAAATTCCAATATTAATGAAGCAAAATATTTGAAAATAATCCATATGAGCTAGAGAAATGCCGAATATTACGATACTACTTATGCCTAACATACCACAATTTTTTAAATTAACAGTTATCTCATTAGGAATCCGACGAATTCTTTAGAAAATTTTGGAAAACATCAGCGAAATAATTAAATAAACTTAACAGACAGTGGTTTCAATTAAAATAACTCGACTACAACCATGTTAAATTAACCGGCAGTATTCCATATCAGTTTATCAGAAGTGAAAACCCCATTCTATTGAAACGATACTATCTGTTAAGAACTATGTAATAGACTCAGCTCAGCTTTATACTATCAATATTCGCGATTTTTTTCAAAAAAAAAAATCAGAAATGTCTCATGTTTGCTTTCATATAAAATCAAAAATTAATTTTGAATAACTCATTTTTTTCTCAACATTCAGCCATTGGCGATTGGTTTGTTTTTAATTTCAAGGATAATGATATAATTCCTATGGTATGTTCCATTGTAACAAAAATTATCAGAAACAGATATTCATATATATTAAATAAAAAATTTATTAATCATATGATAAAAAATTTAATAGAATTCAAATTTAAAATTTGATCTTTGACTAATATCCAAATAACTAATATTAAAAGAATAATGCAATTAAATATGAAACTAACCGGTATCACCAATAATAATATATTTGAAAAGATATGTATAAGACATTTTTTCTTGTTCAATGTAAAACCTAAAAAAGTAATTTCAAAAATTTCAAAATATTTATTAAAAATTATCAGATAAAACGAAAATCCCGACAAAATTTCGTAAGAATTCGAATCAAAATTTAAAGTCGTATATGCTTCGCTTTAGACTAATGTATAAGCTGCCAACAGAAATTTATGTAAAAATTTTATCAAAAGTAATAACTTCGATTTTTTTAAACTATATTGCTCATTTAAAATTTTTTCTTATTTAGTAGCAGCAATAGTAGCAAAATTAGCAACAGTAGCAACAACCTTAATGAAAAAAAGGTCAACAGCAATGACGAATATAGCGAATACAAATATATAAATGCCTGGAAAAATAATTTTATTGTAATTGTAATGTAATTTTTTGTTCAAATGTAATTTTTATCGACACTATCAAAAGTCGAAAATGGGCCCAGTAAGTGTCTCCTAATAGGAGCAAGTGTGTTACTGGGAGCGAAGGCCAGTGCGAGGAAAACGACTTCCGAACGGTTGCACAACGAATCGGCGTCGCCAAGCAGCCGAATCCGACACGGTGAGTGCTTTTAGAGGGAACGAAGAGAACTTCGCCAAACAAATAATTCGAATAGAAACTGCAAAAGAGAAAAACGCCAACAAACTGCGATGAAAAATTTCAGAGGAAAATAACTGATTGCCAAATTATAATCAAAAATAAATAAATAAAGCAATAATAATTAGTAAAAATGCTAACAAACGAAAGAAAGCACACTTTGGATTGCCGCTAATCACAGAACAATTTGTAAATCGTTAATTTAAAATAAATAGGCAAAAACAAAGTAAGCAAACAATAAAGCCAAGCAAAGCCTACAACAATACTATAATAAATGTTATTGACAAGAATGATAAAGAAATTGATCCACGCAACGCAACATGCAGATTTTCGTTTTAAGACTTGAAATTTGCTCTAATAGCACTATATTCAGTTCATTTTGGCAAGAGGCAGCAATTCTTGATCATATTGACATTTTATTGCGATGCTTATTTATCAGTGGAAAAATAAAAGCAATGAATTATAAGGATATGCGACCTTTTGATTATGTGACAGTATATATGCTTGTATATACTAAAATGAACTATAGGAAAGGATAGGGAAACAATGATTGCACTGTACAAAAGAGAACGCTGGTTGAGTGATGTGTTCGCTCGATCGAATACCTTAAGAGAAGAACGCGCGAGTATCATAGGAGGTGAAATCAGAGCGGTAGCTGAGAGCCGACTTCTAGGTGGCTCATCACAGCAGAGCCAGCGGCAAATGAATCGAAAATGCTACATGATGTTTGAAAAAGATGGCAGTAAAGAAGGCTAAGAGAGATAAAAGAAAAAACTGAGAAGGGAAGAAAATGAACTCGAAAAAACCTTTCTAGCGAGCAGTTCTCTCATTAAATTTATTTGATACACCGGCACTGGTTCCAAATTTCTATATTCGACAAGCGCTGTTCATTGTCTTTTTTGGACCGCCTCGAGAATGTGCTGAAAACTACAGGTCTCCTCTCAGCTTTGTGGCATCTTGCACCCTATATTAGCAAGCAGCGCTTTAGATTTGTTCCTCATTTTGACAATTTATATCTGTGAGCTGCAAAATGCTTGAACTGAGCAGCATTACCCAAAACATTTGTCTCAGTCTAATCGTATTCGCAACATTGATAGAATTTGGCGATGGCGAAGACGATCACTCGCCTTACTCCATGATTCTCCATTATAATGTCAGAAAACTTGTTTCTCAAGAGCATGCAGTCAGTTATTATTTAATTATACAAAATGAAACTCTATAAAAGATTCTTAAACATTCTTTGGCTGATAGAAATCTAAATTAAGGAGAAAGATTTAAGAAAATACTTTAGACGTTTATGGATTGCACATTCGGAATCAAAGCAGCTTATTTTACATTGTCCAAGAAATATTTCATCGTCGTAATTCAATGCATTATATCGGACTAAAGGAGAATTTGAGCGGAGAAAAGCATAAAAATTCATTTCCCCTCTTTTGCTGAGGAATATTTAAGAAAATGCGGCTAAGTAAAACGTTGCTTTTCAAGCATTCCTTCGTACATTTAGTGCCCGAAATATTTATTCAAAGTTTATCGCTTTTACAATAATAGCGGTTCGGATTACTCCAATTATTGATGAGAAATTTTTGCTGGCGAGTCACTTGAAGAGAGAAGTGCAGATGTTTTTTCAAGGATACTTCATGAAAGGATTATTTCTGTCGGAAGCCTTCTGAAGCTTTCGAAACATCGAAATGCTCGATAATCTAACTTGATGAAAAATAAATTTTAAAATTCTAATGAGCTTTGTAATCATTTTTAATGATAAATAGAAAATGAAAATATTAATCCTGGAAATGGAATTGAATGAATAATTAATATTTATTTTATGTTTTCTAAAATTAGAAGATGATTCCCAATGTTGTATTGCAAAAATTATTGGAAAAACGGTTAGCAAAAGTTTTAAATTTTATTGAAATTCGGTTGTTCAAAGAAATAAAAAAATTTATTTTTTTAAATTTTGTGCAGTGCGTCGGTGGCGTAGTACAGCAAGGTACCTGTGAGAATGGTTCTGGTTCGAATCGCATCTTCCTTCACTGGGCAGCGGTATCGGCGAACAGTGCGACAAAAGGAGGAAAGGAGATAGATGACTCGGTGGGTTGTTACTAAATTTGGAACGCCGATACTGTGGTTCCACTCCTTACAGGGATTAACCAAAAAATTAGGTGTATTTCTATTGCTAAGTAATTCTCCAGCGAATTTTGGCTGGTTGACAAGCCAGCAGATCGAGCCTAACCAGCAATAGTGGACGCCCCAGAAACTATAATCCGTATTAAAATACTGCTACTATAATATTAAAATATACAATACTAGTACTAGTACTATAATACTAAAATCCGTTTACGACAAAAACCTTAGATATTTTCTTCAGTTTGCTTTTTTATTTAGAATTATTAATATTAATATTAAGCAAACTTGAGGCAAACTTGTTTCTTTTTCAAAAATTATACTGAAATTTTATTTTGTTTTATTTATTTAAATTTTATTTTAATAAAAAGTATATTTTTTAAAAAATTTCATTTCTTTAAGAAATAAAACGAAGTGAAGTTGAATTATTTCTTATAAATCGATGATATAAATCGATGAATTCCTCTACTTCGATTTCGCTGTACAATATCACCAACGAATCCAATATTTTTTCAAATGTAAACCATTTTATTTAAAATCAATTGATAGTAATTATATAAATATATATATATAAATATATATTTATATATATAATGGTGTTTTAAACTTCTAAATCACCTATTAAATTACAGAGCAAGTAGTTGGCGCTCGTCATTTCTGATTAGGCTTGCTAGTTTGGCTATTAGTATGCTATTGCCAAGAATTAAAGGAATAGAAGTATAAGTGGATAGCTGTGGCCAGCAGGATTTTTTAATAACAGGTCGGAGGCATCCTAATCATTCATTGCGATGATCTGGATCATTTTCTACTCTGCCATTCTGCCTTAAATAATTGTTTCGCCAATTTTATGCCGCAGAAAATCGACAGCGTAATCCCAGAAAATCATCACCAAAAATCGTCAAATTATATTTTATAATTTGTGTATAAACAAGAAAAAAATAAAAATGACAAATTGTAAAAAAAATTTAAAAATTTAAAATTTAAAAATTAATAAATGTCTACAAATTTCATATTTTTAGAAAGCAGTTTTGTGGAACAGAAAGATTTTCATCAAAGAACGTCCAACACCAAAAGCCACTGACGATGGATTGAATTCTGGAAATTTTTTTCATCGACATTCTTTAATCATAGTATGATTGTTTGAGAATTCATAAATTGAGAAATGCATAAGATTAAGGGCAGGATATCTGAGTGATGATATCTGAGTGGATAGTGGCTGGAGCTGTCATGCTGAAAGGTAAGGCAATAATCCGGATCCCGCCCTCGACAGAAGTAAACCTATCATTGAAGGATTCGAGTGGTACTCTTGTATCGCCAAGTGAACCATGGGCAAAAAGTTCTAGCTATATTAACATCTAACAGAGCTAGCCTAGCTAGGTGAGCACTAACCACTTTGTTTATTGCAAACAAAAATATCGATTTTCTGGGAAATGAGATTTGGATACTAATTTAGGACAAATTATTAAAGTATATTTATCGTCATGCGTTGGATGTGACTGGGACTGAAATGGCATCAATTCGGCTCTCACTGCTCCTCTAATTGATTTTAACGACGAACATTCTATCATCCATGTGCTCATGGTTCTACCGCAGAAATTCCCTCTTTTCCAGGATAAATCCCTTCGTCACATGAATTGCTTTTCAGGTCTCGCTTACATTATTTTTGCTACTTATTGCAACGTTTGTTTCGCTAATTTTATACCACAAGAAACGGCAACATCGCAATTGCTACATGTGGAAATATCATAACAGTAAGATGCGTAAGTAAGTTCCAAATTTTCTTAAATTTTCAATTTTTCTATTTTGACAAATAGAATTGAATTGGAAGAAAAGCTATTGGTCCAGAACTGTAGTTCTGCCATTTAAAAGAATTATGCTCTTATATAACTTTGTAAAATAATTCATTCGTTAGAGCGTATGGAAGAAGAATAAAGCAAATTTAAAACAAATTTTATTGCTTTCTGTATTTTTTTATGCATATATTATTGGATACAGTATTGAAGGGGATAGAATGGATCAGTGGGTTGTTAGATCGGAGCGCCGATGCTGGGGTTCTGCTCCCGCAGGAGTAAACCTGTTAAATCCGGGTGCTGACGACTCACCTCTATCGCCAGGGAATATTAGTCCAGTGCGACAAGCCAGTGAAGTGAATTTAACCAGTAATGGTGAGGGCTTTTAAAAAAAGAAAACAAAATCAATGGACATAAAGAATTTTTGTATCATAGATTTCTGAAATTGGCAACAGATTTCGACGGAAATGCTATTAGAACTCAGAATATTACACTCAGGTAAAATTCAATCTCTGGATTGAAACTGGTAAACTAATTTTAACATACAACCAATTTATCGCCGTTAAACAAATATTCCATCCAAGGAATGAAATAGTTTTCTCAACTTTTCCTGTTTTAAGCGACAAAGTAATTTCCTCTGGTAGTACGGCATTGCACGGCATAATAGATTAGACATCAGCAATTAAGTTTTGATACACTCACAAAAGAAATTTAAAAAAAAGAAAGGAAAAAATTTAAATTTTTCAGAAATTTGTCAGATGAAAGCAATTTAAGCCGTTCTGTTATGTTACCAACCTCGGAGTAAACAATCCAGAGTAGCTGTTTAAATAGTTGTTTACACATGTCCAATATTCAGCACATACTATCTTCTCTTTAAAAGTACCATCGATTAAAAATCAACTTGTTCAAGTTATCTTGCATTACCATTTTAGAGTTCAATAAGCCTAGAATATCAGCCAAAATAAATTAAGTTTTTAAAATTAAATAGGTTTTTGAATTTTATGATGATATTTTTATTTTTTGTGATGTTCTGAAGAAAGTTTTAGTAAAAGTTTTTAAATATCTCTCATTTAGTATAGTTCTGCATAATTCTTCAGTTTAATGTTAAAATCAAAAAATTAAAATTAAACTTCGGTCCATTAACGAAAATCCATTTCACGGTTCGTGCATTATTAGAACAATTTTTAGGGTTATTTGAACGATTTAAAAAGTTTACGACAAATTTTTCTGTGGCTTTTAATTCAATGTGATTCAAAAATATAAAAGATCAGTTTTAATTTTAATTTCAGTTTTGGTAAATTAATGAATATTTACGAGAAGAAAAAATTACAATTAGTAAAATTTTTTTAAGATTTATAAATTTCACCGCTTGTAAATTTACTTTTAGTTTTCAGTTATAATTCGGTTAAAATAATGTTTTATCAATTTCTGAAAATTTTTTATAAATAACTGTAAAAGATTTAAATAAACAAGATATACAATACCGAGCGATGAATACAGAGATTTTTTATTAACTAATATTATTATAAAATAACTCGCCCTATAGACCAGCAGAGATGCCTTCAAACCTTCGCATACCTCTTGAGATTTCTTTAAAATCCGTTGTATTCTCCCAAAATCCCTTCGAACTCCGATGCCAGAAGCACTTCTTTGACACTTGCCAGATCTTCATAATTCTTTATCAGACCCTTGCTATGATCGACACTTTCAACCATTTCTAACCAGGTTCTGGCATCACAAGTTCAATGATGATAAGGCAAAATGGAGGTAGGAAGTATTAAACTCAGTTTGAAAAGTCAAAGAAATAGAAAGATTTTAAAAAAAGGTTACTTATGGATTATAGCA